ATAATTTATAAAATTTTCAAAAAATAAAAAATTTTTAAAACAAGAGCAAAGACCGAGGCAAAGAATAAAACGCAAATTTTTTCCTAACTTCTTAAATTTATTTAAAAACCATTGCTGTTAAAATTTGTGCACATTCCCTTCTAAACCAGGCCATTTGATTACATCGCACCCCGGGCCAAAATCTTCAATCCGGCTCTGTCGGAAACAACACTTACGTTCCACCTACATTATATAAGGCTTCCTCATCTTGAAGAAATTTACACAATAAGAGTGAAGCATAGGTGTTGTTTGCATTAACAAAATATTTGATTAAAAATAAAATAATTAGAAGTGGTCTGTATTGGATTACGCCAGGATTCGTTTTCAGCAAGTAGATATCCACACAAGTGGACCTTGTTGGAGTATACGTAATCCTAAAATGTAGCATCGTACTACAGATGGCGCTCACTGGGCCATTTGTAGTATTTTCTAAAATATTTTATTGTTAGCCCCTAACTTAGTTTTGATTCCTATTATATTGCATTTCATTATCAATATAACTTTTCAGTTCTTTAGATGAGGGTGATTTATGACCTCTAAAACACCACTTTTTTTTGTCAGCAATGTTTACAATGTACATGAGCCTTTGTTTTTTTTAATTAATGTGACAAAATTTACATAAATCATATCGTTGAACCTTAATTTATTCATACGGTACTCTATTTGAAGACAGTAGATTATGTCATTATTATTTTATGTTTCACATACTGCTAGTCTCTTATGTACCTAGATATTTCCCCGATTGTTAGTTACTTGGTATTATTTCTGTTTTACAGTAATTGTGTTGAAATCAACGTTGTTATAGCAACTATTAATATTTCAAAAAAAAAAGGTTCGATCGGTTATATTTTTATTTGCGTTTCTTTTTAAAAATGTAAAATAAGCAGGACAATTAAGTACCTGCAAGATTTGAATATTTTATTATTTATTAATATTAGATACTTTGCTAAATTACAAGTAAGGGAAGTTTTGCGCCCAAATACTTATATTACAAAATAAATAATAAATATCTAAAGCCTGTGTAAAGTGTTATTTTGCTCTTCATATTTTTATGTGATTCAATTTTCTCATCCAATCTTGAGTGTTTTTGTCATTATTATGTTATAAAGTTAGACAGTTGAAGTCCCAAAAATCCTTTGTTGTAAACCCACGTTCTTCATACAAATAAAATAAGTATTTGAAAAGCTTTTCTTCTAACACATTGTTAATTCACTAACAGTTTTTTAAAACGAATCAACCAAGTCAAAAACGGACTTATAGACCCATAAGAATTTTTTCTAGATAAAAAACAGCATATACAGTGTCATTGTTTAAGCCATTTAGTGTAGGAATAGTAGGAAAACAGCAAAAAAAGTGAAATTTACTTATACCAACGTAAATAAGAGCAATACCAGTACACTTCGTTTGTGTTGTCTTTTCCTACTATAACTTTATAGTCCTAACGTTACCTAACGAAGTAAATGTGTGTAGTAAAAATTTATAGTGATAGTAGCTTTCGTCCAATTCTATTGGCAAACTTGCAGACAAGTTTAAAGGCAGAAATTTTTAGTCTTGCTTAATAACAAAATAATTAAGTTAATTGAAACTTAACTTGTGTTTTTTATTTGCATTACTTCGAAATACTTAAAACAATAGTTTTTCACAAAAGTTCAAATTTAGTGTTTTTAATATCACTATCGTTCTTTCCACAGATTTCCCATCATGCCATGGGGGTCAATTCCGTTGTGCTAATCAGCTCTGCATTCCCGCTTCTTATCATTGCGATGGTCATTTTGACTGTACCGATAACTCAGACGAACAAAACTGTACAGCTATTGCTTGCCCCGACAACCGATTTCTTTGCCCAAGGGGAACCCCCGATGGAAAACCGAAATGTATTGCCAAATCGCAATTGTGTGATGGTAAACGCGACTGCGCAGATGGAGCAGACGAAGAATCTGCTTGTTGTAAGTAGAATATTATTAATTTAACTTTGATTTTTTGACATATAAATACCTAATACTAATTTATTTATAAGTACCTGAGGATGTTTCAGTAATTGTAGCAAAAAGCCTTAGGAATAAAATTTACTTATGTCACTTTTTTGTTTGCCACTATTGGTAGATTTAATCTAAAGATCTGTACTAAAATGAGCAACACTTCTCAACACTGATTAAAAATTATTATTTTTCATTTCAGCTAAACTGTCATGTCCATCTCTCGATTGCGAATACAAATGTCAGGCGTCGTTAACAGGAGGTGCATGTTACTGTCCGGAGGGTAGAAAATTGGCGTCAGACAATCGCACCTGTGTCGATCGAGATGAATGTGCGGAATGGGGCTACTGTGATCAAATCTGTTCCAACACCGATGGCAGTTACGTTTGCTCGTGTGCGTCCGGATACGTCTTTAAAAATAAGCAAAGATGCACGGCTGTGGATACCGAGGCTCTCGAAATATATTTCGTCCATGAAAAGAACGTTTTCAAAATGAATAAGACTGGAGAAGAACTTAAAGCTGTTGCTAATACGACAGGTGCTAGCGGACTTGATTATCACTATAAGAAGAATTTGTTGTATTGGACTGATATCAAAACTAGAAAGGTAAGTGTGTTCTAATTAACATATTCAAGTTTTTCTTCAACCTGTTCCATTTCTCCATTTTACAAACGAGGGAAAGATCCAAATAGATCTTTTTCCACATTACAACACTACTATTGACAGTACAATCCATTTGTAGAAACTTACATTGTACTTTATTTTTTGTTCCTTTGAAATAACTTTTATTTATTTACAGATTCATTCCCAACAACTTATGGGCCCAATTAGCAATCCGCCAATAGTTAGAGAAGTAGATATTACACTCCCAGGTACCTGGTCACCAGTCGCAATAGCAGTTGACTGGATAGGAGACAAACTGTATGTTGCAGACTCTGTAGGTCAAAAGATAGACGTATTCGAATTAACAGGCAGATGGCATGCCATCGTCCTCGGTTCGAACCTGACCAATCCTGCGGATATAGCACTCGATTGTCTAGTCGGATACATGTTCGTAGCAGACAGTTCGCAAGTTCTCAGAGCCAATATGGATGGCACCGATCCTCGTGCTATAGTATCTGAAGCGGCATACAAAGCTTCAGGAGTGGCTTTAGATCTAATAGCGAAACGTGTTTATTGGTGCGATTCACTGTTAGACTACATTGAGACTGTTGACTACGATGGACAAAACAGATTCTTGGTTGTACGAGGACAATCTGTGCCAAATCCATCTAGGTTGGCTTTGTTCGAAACTAGAGTGTATTGGACTGATGGAACCAAACAAGGAGTTATGTCAGTGGACAAATATGACAAAGATAACAGAAGTATCTTGTCCATTTACAGAACGAGAACAATCAGAGATCCCAAAGCAATCAAAACCATACACAGACTAAACCAACCCGCAATTAGTAACCCTTGCGGAACAAATAACGGAGGGTGCCAAAGTATGTGTATCATAACGCATACACCATCAGGTTTAGGTTATCGGTGCGCTTGTAACATTGGTTGGAAGTTGAGGTCTGATGAATACAGCTGTGATATTGTGTCTGAATTTCTACTCTATTCCCAGCAAAGGTTTATCAAGGGAAAGGTGCTGGAACCCGTGGTAGGGGGTTTTAGTGATTCAATGTTACCCGTTGTATCACGTAGAGCAAGATTTGTGGGATTAGATTTCGACGCAAGAGACGAGCACATTTACTACTCCGACGTTTTACAAGACGTTATTTACAGAGTTCATAGAAACGGAACAGCTCGCGAAATTGTTTTAGCTTCACAGAATGAAGGCGTTGAAGGATTGGCAGTTGATTGGATGTCAAAGAATTTATATTACATCGACAGCCGTAAAGGTACACTTAACGTCTTGTCAACTAGAAACGTAACTTATAGAAGAACTCTATTGAAGAATCTGAAAAGGCCAAGAGCTATTGTCGTCCATCCTAACAAAGGTTATATATTTTTCTCGGAGTGGGACAGGCCAGCCAACATTTCTAGGGCACACAGCGACGGTACAAATTTAATAGTTTTTAAGAATGTTACGCTTGGTTGGCCGAATGGATTGGCTATCGATTTTGATACTGATCGACTGTATTGGTGCGACGCGTTACTCGATCACGTCCAACATTCGAAATTGGATGGAAGTGACATTAAAACGGTTAACTCGAGACTTATAAGACATCCCTTCAGTATTGTTATATTCAGAAATTACATGTACATCACCGATTGGAGACTGGACGCTATAATCAAACTTAACAAACTGACAGGGCAAGAAGAAGAAACGTTAGTTAAAGAACCTCAAACTAATCGACTATATGGTGTAAAGGTGGGTGTATTATCATCATTTCATTGCTTTAATTTTTGTTTTTGTGTATGTTTTATTTACGTTATTAGATATACAGCGATCTAGAACAACGTGTAGATACGTTCCATCCATGTTGGAACAATAACGGGGGCTGCAACAAATTGTGCTTTGCGGTTCCAAGGAACGATTCGAATGGATTAATGTCCAGATGTGGATGTCCTTATGGGGAGCGTTTGATGGCAGATGAGAGGACCTGTCAGCCTGATCCAAACCATGAACCACCGGTGCAGGCCTGTCCTAATCCTTGGGACTTCACATGCAACAATCAGAGATGTATTCCAAAATCATGGGTTTGTGATGGTGATGATGATTGTTTGGATAATAGCGACGAAGAACAGAACTGCACCAGTAAGTATTCAGATCACTATTAATTTTTTTACCCGAACATAGAAAACATTAAATTGTATTGAAAATTACAAAACGTATATATTATGATAAATTGTTTTTTTCGTTTTTAGAGCCTACTTGCGCTGCTAACGAATTCCAATGCAAATCAGGTCGTTGTATTCCAATTATATTTAAATGTGATGCCGAAAACGATTGTGGCGACTTTAGTGACGAAACGGGCTGTGTTAATGTCACTTGTGGCTCAGTACAGTTCCAATGTGAGAACGGCAGGTGTATTCCAAACACTTGGAAATGCGACTCCGAAAACGATTGCGGCGACGGATCTGACGAAGGGGATCATTGTGCGGAGAAAACGTGTGCATACCATCAGTTTACTTGTCCAAGAACTGGTCATTGTATACCACAAAGTTGGGTCTGTGACGGCGATGACGATTGCTTCGATAAACAAGACGAAGAAGACTGCCCACCTGTTACCTGTCTACCGTCCCAGTTTAAATGTGCCGATTTACGACAGTGTGTACAAGAAAGTTATAAATGCGACGGTATTCCTGACTGCAACGATGGAAGTGACGAATTCGGTTGTCGTAAGTAACCAATTACCAATAGCAATGGCAATTTATCACATTAAATAGTCTACTTTTTTTAAGAAAAATAGAACTTTAACTAGCTCGTTCAAGTACTAACTAATATTGAATCTTCTCCTTCAGTGTTCAACTGAAAGTACAGAATGAATTACTGATTCTAAAATTATATAACATTCGCAAATATTGAGTTATGAATGACATAATTCTTTTTATTAGCATCAATTGCTCCTAACCAGTGCAACAACGAGAAACAGTTTCAATGTCAGTCTTCTGGAATCTGTATACCAAGATCATGGCATTGTGATGGAACACCGGATTGTGATGACAGGTCTGACGAACCTGAATCATGCGGTCAGATCGATTGCGCTCCCAACTTTTACAAATGTGATAATTCAAAATGCGTCTTTAAGGTAAACAAGTGTACATTGGTTATTTTTATTTTAACTGTTAGTAATTAATTGGTCTTTATTTTAGACGTATATATGCGATGGTAAAGATAACTGCGGAGATGGGTCCGATGAAAGTTCAAAGCACGCTTGCAAGAAACCACCATTTAGATGTCCCGACGGTCAATGGCCTTGCCCAGGCGTCACTGAACGTTGCGTCAATCTTACTAATGTTTGTGATAGTAAACCTGATTGTCCAAATGGTGCAGATGAAGGCCCAGGGTGCGATTTAGCACAATGTTTACATCAGGGCGGTTTGTGCTCTAATGGATGTAAGCAGACTCCCGTGGTAAGCAACATTAAACTCCGTAATAATCATATTAAAATAATTTAATTTTTTTTTTGAGACATTTATAACAAATATATTACTGAAGCAAATGTAAAATACTTTACAGCATTTTGTCTTAAACCTTTGAAATAAACTAAAAGATAATAAATTATTTTAGGGTGCCATTTGTACTTGTCCAAAAGGTGAGGTATTAGGAAATGACAGTTTCACATGTGAAGACCTTAACGAATGCGACCCGCCTGGAGTATGCTCTCAAACTTGCGTTAACACTAAAGGTTCCTATTTCTGCGAATGTGTTCCTGGTTACTTATTAGAAAGAGACAAGCATTCTTGCAAAGCTATAAGTAAGATTACAATTACAGTAGACTTTAACAGGTATGTTATTACTAATCATTTCGTTAATTCTCTGTTACAGATCATAGTGCTGCGTTCCTAATTATTTCGAACCGTCATTCCATCTTGGTGGCCGACTTGAATGAGCAGGGTTTAGAACGAGTTCCTATTATAGTTGAAAATGTGGTAGCCACAGCTTCAGATATGCACACTGGCACCATTTATTGGTCGGACATGAAGTTAAAGAAGATTTCAAAACTGGACAGGAGCAGTCAGCCCAAAGATGTCATATCAACAGGACTGGATCTCGTTGAAGGATTGGCATTTGACTGGATTGGTAAAAATATATACTGGCTGGATTCCAAGCTAAATACGATTGAAGTTGCTAGAGAAAATGGATCTAACAGGATAGTGCTTTTAAAAGAAAATATCACGCAGCCTAGAGGAATGTGTTTAGATCCTAGCCCTGGGTATGTTCTTGTTGAATTGTATTTAAATTTATTAGCAATTGTAACATATATTTTTTATTTAGTGCCCGCTGGCTGTTTTGGACCGACTGGGGAGAAAATCCTCGAATTGAAAGGGTTGGAATGGACGGCACAAATCGGTCAATTATCATCAATTCGAAAATATATTGGCCAAATGGTTTGACATTAGATACCGCTAACAAAAGAGTATATTTTGCCGATTCAAAGCTAGATTATATCGACTTCTGTAATTACGATGGTACTGGACGGCAACAAGTCTTGGCAGGAAGTCACTACTTGCTTCATCCACATTCTCTTACTCTCTTTGAAGATACATTATACTGGACAGATAGACAGTTAAACAGGGTTCTTTCTGCCCACAAATTCAAAGGTAAATACTATTTGGAAATATGGTTTTGATTGTTTCAAAAGGAAGAAAATGAACGTTCATAAAAAAATACCTGGGATTTTGAGACCGAACCGTGATAGTGTATATACCAAAATTCATTGTAGGGACAAAAACTCCTGCAAATTTGACTATTGACGCAACACATGTTATTGACATAAGCCTCCTAATTTTAAATGACCTTAAATGTAGAGAATAATGAAAGGAATAACATCTGATTTTTACAAATACATCCATTGCTTTCTCATAATTAAGAAATTAATATGCTCAAAACTCAAAAGTGTAATTACCAATTATTTTATCTTCAGGTGATAACCAGTCTGTTGTTTCACACTTAATTTCTCAACCACTGAGCATTCACGTCCATCATCCGTCACTGCAACCCATTTCTGATAATCCGTGTGAGAAACAACCTTGTCAACAACTATGTTTATTATCTCCTTCTTCATCTTCCGGATATTCCTGCAAGTGCAAACCAGGGTATAGAATCAATGGTGGAAATTGTGTCGAAGAAGAAACTGCTTTCCTCATGCTTATGCGAGGATCACAAATTATCGACATTTCGCTGACACCAAATGACAAAACTTCAGGATTTCTTACGCCAATTGTTGGTGTTGATAATGGTTTACAAATTGATTACGATCGGAAAACTGATACCATATTTTGGATTGAAGGAAAGGAAGATAGCGATGAAAATGTAAGTCACTTAAATAAAATTTGCAGTGTTTTGTTGTCTAATGGTAATAAAAAAAAATCGCTATTGTTACTTTTAATTATTGCAGTGTACAATTTGGACAATTCCTTATGGTGGAGGAAACAAAACTCAATTTCTTGGTCAAGATTCAGGTATTGTTGGTTCACCAGCTGTCATTGCTTTCGATTGGGTCGGAAGAAATCTTTTTATTGGTAATCGTTTGGCAAGTAATCTTGAGGTAGTAAAAGTTGACGGCAAAGTTAAGCATCGCTCTGTAATCCTCGCCAATGACGGTAACGCTACATCCGTTGCGAAACCAAGATCAATGTGTTTGGATCCATTGGAAGGAAAAATTTATTGGACAGATGAAGGAGGATTTGGTGTACCACAAAAAATTGGTAAAGTCAACATGGATGGTACAAAATCTGTAGTTCTCTTAAATAATGTAGAAAGGCCCGAAGCAATCACAATAGACTTGGAAAATAAAATTCTTTACTTCAGTACACAATATCCCCCCGAAGTCATATCAATCGATGTAAACGGAAATAATCGTAAAAGTATCTTAAGTGAAGAAGATGGAATATCAAAACCTAAAGCATTAGCCGTCTTAGACAAAAGATTATTCTGTCTGGATCCCATTTATGAAAAATTGTTTAGAGTAGATTTGCCAACTGGAAGTCATGCAAGAAATATAATTGAAAATGAACCTGATCTAAAAACATTTACCGTTTTTAAAAAGAGACAGTTAATCGCTCATCCTTGTTCAGCTAATAATGGAGGCTGTGAACAGATATGTTTGCCAAGCGATGGTAAAACTCGTACTTGTGCTTGTAGCATTGGATACAAAAAGGAAAGCGAGACAAGTTGCACACCATACAGCACGTTTGCAGTGGTTTCTCAGCTAGACATGACACGCGGTTACAGCTTAAAGGATAGCGCAGAAGCAATGGTACCAATAACAGGCCCTGGTCATCACATCTTACACGTTGACGTTCATTATCATGACAACTGGATTTACTGGGTTGAATTCAATCGCGGCCCTTGGAACGGCATATTTAGAATCAGACCTAATGGCTCAGAAATACAACCAATTATAAAAGAAGGCATAGGAAGTAACGGAATCCGTGGTATTGCTATCGACTGGGTTGCTGGCAATCTCTACTTTACAAACGTCTTTCCCCACGAAAATTATCTGGAGGTATGTTGGTTAAACGGCAAAAACCGTAAAGTGTTAGTTAAAACAACTGCGGATGCTCCCAGAGAACTTGCAGTAAATCCTGTAAAGCGTCTGTTATACTGGATCGACTATGGTCAGTATCCGAGAATAGGAAAATCTTTCCTCGACGGTTCCAATTGGATTCCTCTTGTTACATCCGGAATTAGTAACCCCAGAGATTTAACAGTAGACATGATAACCAACGACGTCTACTGGGTCGATTCAAAATTGGATACAATTCAAAAAATTTCTTTCAATGGTGGCAATCGTCAAATCATTCGGCGGAACTTGCCTAATCCAATGGGTATCGCAATTCATAAAATGGAGGTCTACTGGGTAGACAGAAACTTGCAAACCATCTTCAAAGCATCAAAATTCATTGGAAATACAAGTTTACCCACTCGTGTCCGAAACAATTTACCGAAACTTCGTGACATTGCAATTTTCGCCATTGAAAATCAAACTCCAGATGATAACAATCCTTGCTACAAACTTGGAAACGGCGGTTGTGAGCAACTTTGTTTTGCACTACCTGCCGATGCGCCATCTGGAAATAATTTAGGATATAAATGCGACTGTGCAACAGGTCAATTGGCAGCAGATGGTCGTAAATGCGAATTTGTTAACGAATATCTCGTCTTTACCACAAGAACCGAAGTAAGGGCAATAAGTCTGGACGCTTCTGTTACATCAATACCATTCAACCCAATTACAAATCTGACTAATGTAGTTGGAATCGATTTCGATTATAAAGATCAACGACTTCTGTTCACGCAAATCAGACCATGGGCAAGGATTGCTTCGATGTCATCAAACAATCCGACGTCCACTGACGTCCATAATATTATTAATAAAGGAATAAATCCTGAAGGGATAGCATATGATTGGACACAAAAGAAAATCTACTGGACCGATTCGTCGAACCACAGCATATATGCGATGAATATGGATGGAACCGATTTAGTGATGATTGCTAGAGTTGAGAGACCACGTGCAATTGTAATTGATCCTTGTAATGGTACTTTGTTCTATACCGACTGGGGGAAATTCGGAACTTCTGGAAAGATTTTCAGAACTACAATGGCCGGTTCTTTGAAAAAAGTTATTATAGACAAAAACTTAGCGCAACCCTCAGGATTAGCCATCGATTATGATGACCAAATGTTGTATTGGACAGATGCTGTAAGAGAGAAAATTGAACGATCCGATTTAAATGGGCAAAACCGAGAAGTTTTAATAGCTGCAACAATTTATCCATTCTCCATTACCGTCTTTGGAAGGCATATTTACTGGACCGATTTACAATTGAGGGGAGTATACAGAGCGGAAAAATACACTGGTAAGTCACAAATGTTTTAATTATAAAATCTACAATTGCTTTTTTTATTAGATTAGAGTACATAGAAATAATAATACATAATTAATAAATAGGAATAAAATAATTGATAACAACAACATGTTTCTGTACGCTTATTAAAAATGTTTCACAAACAGTTCACCAGTGACAGTGAAATTTAATATGTTAATTAGTTTCTTAAGGTAGAAATTCATTACAATTTAATAATTTTTTAGGAGCAAATATGGTAGAAATGGTTAAGAGACTTGAAGATAGTCCAAGAGATATCCAAGTGTTTTCAGCTTCAAGACAAAAATGTCAGGTCAACGCATGTCATATAAATAATGGTGGATGCGCCCAAAGTTGTCACCCCGCCCCGAATGGTACCGCAGAGTGCAAATGTGACGATAGTTATAAAATTGTGAACGAAGGAAGAATGTGCGTGGCCAAGAATTTAAGTTGTGATTCAAGTAAATTCTACTGTAGAAATGGCAAATGTATTTCGAGAATGTGGGCTTGTGACGGTGAAGACGACTGTGGTGATAACAGTGACGAAGACAACAATTATTGTGGTACTTATATACACTTTTTTCTAATCTATATATATTTATTGTTGCTTTGTTAAGAAAAAAACACTCCATAAAGCAATCTTGGTAGTCTCTTTTATTCACAAAAGAATTACTATGTGGGAAAATAATTATTATAGAATATTTTACGTAATTTTTTGCAGCATTCCACTCATGTTCACCCAACGAATTTCGCTGTGCAAACGGTCGTTGTATATTCAAGTCTTGGAAATGTGACCATGAAAACGATTGCAAGGACGGATCAGACGAAAGAGATTGCCAATATCCTCCATGTGCAGCAGGAGAATTTACATGTGCTAATTATCGTTGCATTCCACAATCACAGGTAATGTGTTAAAATCAATAAGGATTAGATCTGATGTTTATATTCACATAAACGTGTTTTATTTAAAAGGTTTGTAATGGAGTAAATGACTGTAAGGACAACATTACTTCGGACGAGACCCACGAGCACTGTCCTCAAAACACTACATGTCCTGTTAATCATCTGAAATGCGAGAAGACAAACATTTGCGTTGAACCATATTGGCTTTGTGATGGCGATAATGATTGTGGAGATAATTCTGACGAAGATCCTCTCCATTGTGCTCAAAGAACATGCCCACAAAACAGTTTCAGATGTCCGAATCATAGATGTATTCCAGCGACATGGTAAACTATTTTTATGTAGTATTTGTTGATACAGTTTTTTCTCGAGCTTTTACCATTCTTATTTTAATTAATGACCCATATTTAAGAGAATATACTTTACTAGGTATGATTTTTTGAAAGTAAAGCATGTTATTAAACTAACTACAACTTATTTTTGTAGGTATTGTGACGGAGATGATGATTGTGGTGATGGAGCCGATGAGCCTCCAGAATATTGCAAAAGCGAGGGCCGTACCTGCTTTGGGGACCTCTTCACTTGCGACAATGGAAATTGTGTACCACGTATTTATATTTGTGATGGTGATAACGATTGTTTGGATAATAGCGACGAAGATAATAGACATCAATGCAGTAAGTTTTCTGCAAAACTAACAAAAAATTGATGTATCAGTTTCACACGTTTTTATTTCTATTCATTATAGATAACAGAAAGTGTGACGAGGAAACAGAATTCACATGCGAAGCTAATAAGGCGTGGGGTCGTGCCCAGTGTATCCCACGAAAATGGCTGTGCGATGGCGATCCAGATTGTGTCGATGGTGCTGACGAAAACGCCACTTTACACCATTGTAATACTCCTCAACCTTGCAGCGAAGAACAATTCACTTGTGGAAACGGAAGATGCATTAACAAAGTAAGTTTGTGGTCTTATTGAATACGGTGATAATAAATTAATTTTTAATAAGGGTTGGCTGTGTGATCATGACAACGACTGTGGCGATGGAACTGACGAAGGCAAAGAATGTAACACTAAATATAAAACGTGTTCCACACAGGAATTTACTTGTCAAAACTTCAAATGTATTCGCAATCAATATCGTTGTGATGGGGAGGATGATTGTGGCGACAGATCAGATGAAGTGGATTGCAGTAAGTTACAACTTTTCATTTTATGTTTATTTTTTTCGTTCTGTATGTTCAATGCATATATGCAATACTCGTATATTGCTAGTATACGCATGTCCGAAAATGAAACATGCTCATCAGCGTGCTGCAGTTTAAGCGTCGGTTTCTGTGGTAGTTATGATAGTATGAAATGAAAATATTAGAAAAAAAACAATCTATAGTAGAATCGAATTCACGACCCTAGCTTTCCGAATCCATAACTTTACCCCGTAAGCTATGGAGTATGCGAAGAAATGTTTATGATAGCCGCAACTTGATAGAGATAGAAAGTCATTTGCTTTCTCACTTATGCCTTGATACTTCTACTTATGGACGCTAGCAATATAGGAGTATTATAGATATGGTTCAATATGCTTTTCCAATATTTTATTGTATATGTTTTTTTTTTAATTTTATTATAGAAAAGAACAACAGTTCCTGCAGTCCAGGACAATTCACTTGCAATAGCGGACAATGTATTGACTATCAACTTGTATGTAATAAAGTACCTGATTGTAATGACCAATCTGACGAACCCTTACATTGTAATGTGGATGAGTGTACTAAAGTGGAAATCCATCAATGTGGGCATAAATGTGTGGATACTTTGACTGGATACTACTGCGAATGTAACCAAGGCTATAAGTAAGTTATAACAATTAAAAATTAAATAATTGGAATTATAGAAAGTTTATCTGCTTGCTTAATTGATATCTATCTTTGATATTGTAATAATAATAGAGATGATACACAAAATACACAAAATAATTTATCAAAAATTATATTAATTTGTGACACTTATTAAATATTTTTATTTAATTGCAGATTGTTAGAAGATGGAAAGGCTTGTATTGATATTGACGAATGTATAGAGACTCCTGAGGTCTGTTCCCAGTATTGTTCGAATACTCCGGGAAGTTACTACTGTAAATGTAACGAACAATTTTATGAACGGGAAACCGACGAACACACATGCAAAAGAAAGGACAAAATCCAACCATGGCTCGTATTTACCAACAAATATTACATTCGAAATATGTCGATCGACGCATCCATGTACAGTTTAGTTCACCAAGACCTAATGAACGTCGTTGCATTAGATTATGACATTATTAGTCAGAAAATGTATTTCTGTGACGTAACGGCCAAGACGATATTCAGGTCGACAATTGGAGGTAATGGAGAAAAGGAACCTGTAATTCGACACGATTCACACGGACTAGAAGGCATTTCAATCGATTGGATCGCGCGCAAATTATATTGGTTGGATAGGCATTCGAAGAACTTGGACGTGGCAGAACTGGACGGTACCAACAGAAAAACTTTGAAAACTGGCATTGCCGATCCAAGAGCTTTAGTAGTCCATCCTGGTATCGGTTACATGTTCTTTACATCGTGGCATTTGCAAGCGTACATTGGTAAAATTGGAATGGACGGTTCTAATTTCACAAGAATACTGACGTGGGACGACGACATTGCTTGGCCTAACGCATTAACTATCGATTACTTTACTGATCGACTTTACTGGGCTGATGCTCATTTAGATTACATCGCGTTCTCAGATTTAGACGGTAAACATCGGCATGTAGTCCTCTCTGGATCATCTGTGCCTCACGTCTTTGCTTTAACACTATTCGATGATTACATTTATTGGACTGACTGGAATTTGAAAGCTATTAGTCGGGCGAACAAATACACCGGAAAAGATTATAAACTTCTAAGAAATACGACCCATAGACCTTACGATATCCACATTTTCCATCCTTTAAGACAGTTACCGTACACGAATCCGTGTGGAGCTAATAATGGTGGATGCTCCCATCTTTGTCTCATTGCACCACCATACGAATCTAGTTATTTAAATATAGAAGGTTATGGTGAAGAAGGTGCAACGACATACAAGTGTGCATGTCCAAATCAATTTTATTTGGCTCAAGATAGTAAAACTTGTATTGCCAATTGTACCGCTGGACAGTGGAGGTGCGGAGGGAAAGACGAGAAGTGTATTCCTTGGTTTTGGAAGTAAGTAACATATAAAATCATTTCATAACAAATTATTTATATTAGTTGAGAGTGCACTAGTAAATATTTTTAACTAATCCAAAGTTAGGATTGTAAATAAAATTAAAAAATCATCAAACAACTAATACTTATATTAAGCTAGTTTTATATAATTAATTTATTTTACGTTACATATTATTTTCCAAAGTAAACTATAAAATTATTTGTTGTATGCCTTTCACATTTCTTTGCTCTTACATTATTTTCTATATAAATATAATACTATATCTGAACTACGTCAGGTATATTTAAATGTTCGAAACACATGTGACAAAAAAATAGTGTACACACCTCAGTCAGGGTGAATTTTAACTATATTAAACCTCAGAATGCAATATATATAGGTCACATTCGCCTCGTAATGCGTAATATACTATTTCGTTATCATTGAAAAAATGATATAAATAGCTGCATTTTAATTTCACAGCCAGCTTACGCTTATTTTAAAAGGTCACTATAAAACTATGCTAAAACTTGATTTTTTGCTCTGCCCAATAGGATAGGGGATTGAAGTGTTAGATATTGTAGTCTTAATATGCTATATTTTTACTATTTAATTTCCTCATTCTTGTCCTTTTCTTGTAGATGTGACGGCGAAAAAGACTGTAAAGACGGATCTGATGAACCTGCTACATGTCCACAAAGACAGTGTAGGGCCGGAACATTCCAATGTAAGAATGGAAACTGTACTCCAACGGCAACAATCTGTGATGGAATTGACAATTGCGGAGACGGTTCAGATGAGCAAAACTGTAATATGCCGTGCCCTGAATTGGAATTCAAATGTCGCTCGAACGGTCGTTGTATATTAGACAGTTGGAAATGTGACGGTGATGCTGATTGTAAAGATGGATCAGATGAAGACCCTGCAATTTGCCATAATAGAGCTTGCGATCCAGAAACCGAATTTTCATGTAAAAACGGTCGGTGCATTCCAAAGTTGTGGATGTGTGATTATGATAACGATTGTGGTGATGACTCTGACGAACCGGCTTACATGTGCAGACAGAAAAATTGTACGACCGGTTGGCAAAGATGTCCCGGTCGTGCAAATTATAGATGCATCCCCAAATGGCTTTTCTGTGACGGTAAAGACGACTGCCGAGACGGATCCGACGAACTGCCAGAAAATTGTCCGAAATGTAATCCGGATACTGATTTCAAATGTAGCAATAATCGCTGTATTCCTAAACAGTGGAAATGTGACTTCTCCGACGACTGTGGCGATGGATCTGATGAGCTTGACAACATGTGCAAAGGAAACTACAGAGAGTGTTCAGAATCCGAGTTTAGGTGCAAAAACGGCAAATGCATATCGCAAAGATGGAGGTGTGATCATGAAGACGATTGTGGTGATGAATCTGACGAATTGGGATGCAGTGGATTCAAATGTAAGAATGGAACGTTCCAATGTACTTCTGGTCATTGTATTGCTGCTTACTTCCGTTGTGATGGAGACAGGGACTGCAGAGACATGTCAGATGAAATGAACTGTCCACCAAGGTAGGAAAGAACGTTTAAATTAATTTTTATTATATGGTTATTAGAAATTCTTATAATGTCATAAAAAAAGGTTCACATTTTTAAAATGTTAAAATTTGTTTTTTAGTTATTTAAAAATATTATAATTTAAATAATGTGTAGACACTTTTAGCTCATTTAATTTCGGTTAACAGAAGATAGTCATAACTTTTTTAATTTTTGTGATTAGATATCCCGGCGGTAGGTACTGCCCAGAATCTCGATTCCAATGCAACAACCACCTATGTATCAGTCAAGCAGATTTGTGCGACGGTACAGATGATTGTGGAGATGGTTCAGATGAAAGTCCCGATCTATGTACCAATTTCAACTGTGATACTTTACGAAGATTCCAGTGCACGAATCACAGATGCGTCCCAAGGTATCAACTTTGTGACGGCATCGATAATTGTGGAGACGGATCCGATGAAAATAACATGACATTGTGCGCATCTAAAATCAAACCGTGCAACGTTTATACCGAATTCCAATGTGCAAACAAGAAATGTATTAACAAAACGCAAGTCTGTGATTTTGCCGACGATTGTGGAGATAGTTCTGATGAATTAGGATGTCATCACACTAATGTTTGCAAAGATGCCACCAGAGGAGGCTGTGAACATCAATGTACAAACCTTACAGACGGTGGATACATTTGTACTTGCTTTGCTGGTTTCATTATTTCAAAAGAAAACCGTAAAAAATGTAAAGATCTAGACGAATGCGTGATTGGTACTCACCATTGCTCCCAAGTTTGCACCAATTTGAATGGAACGTTTAGTTGTTCGTGTAATGAAGGTTTCAAGTTATCCGACGGTCTTTCGGGTGTCTGCAAAGCTGAAGACGATGACGTTACATTGCTATTTGCTAACGGTCCAGAAATAAGGTCGTATATTCTGAAAAACAAAGAAGAAAACGATATAATAAGCGAAGAAAAACGAATTGAAGCTATTGATTACAATCCAGAATCTGAGATGATATTTTGGGCTGATAGTTACGACAAGGCTATAAAACGTTCTTACATGGTCAATGCCCTCAATGGACAAGCCCAAACTGGGTACGCTCAAGACTTGAATATGAAAGGCAATGCGAAGCCAACAGCTCTTGCTATAGACTGGATAGGGGACAACTTATACTGGACCGAAACTGATAGATTCGGTTCTAAACCCAAGGGACGTGTAATGGTTGCAAAAACTGATGGTCGATATAGAAGGGCACTTGTTAGTCTTGGTTTAGAAAGTCCCACATCTATTGTTGTAGATCCTCAGCTTGGAAGAATGTTCTGGACAGATGCTGGATCGGCACCTAAAATTGAAGTCTCATGGATGGACGGTTCAAAACGAAGGCCTCTAATAACCGAAGAAATAAGACACCCAGCGGGTCTAGCAATCGACTATGCTATGGAACACACTCTTTATTGGGTTGATACAAAACTTAACACCATTGAAACTATGAAACATGACGGTTCTAACAGAAAAGTAATAATCAGAGGAGAAATTCTGAAACATCCAATATCTTTAGATGTCTTTGAATCTGACTTATTTTGGATTACCAAAGACACCGGAGAGCTTTATAAACAAGACAAGTTCGGTCGTGGTGTTCCTGTGCTGCTCCAAGGAGATTTAATAAATCCATCCAGTGTAAAAGGTAAGTTTCAGGTTCCTATTTATATTTTTAATAACTTAACATTTTCATTCAAATTATTTCAACAGACATTGGCTTCTTCATATTGAATTGTTTTGCTTTATATTCGAGAATAAAATATATTCTTTTTTTAAGGTGTTCTAACTGATCATTCAAAGTTTTAATGATTTTTATTTCTTTTTTAGTTTACCACAGTTTAAGATACAACAAGACCATCAGCAACTCTTGCCGAAACAATGAGTGTTCTCACCTTTGCCTATTGGTACCGGGAGGTCATAGGTGTACTTGTCCAGATTCCACGGTACCATCTCAGAGAAGTAAATCAGAAATACAGTGCGACGCAGCCGTCGAAAGGCCCAGACCTGCACCCAGAGTCTGTCCTTGTAAAAACGGTGGAATTTGCAGAGAGAGTGATGTCGGTGACCAACTTAAGTGCGAATGTCCAGTCGATTTCAAGGGCGACAACTGCGATGTATTTGTCAGTTACACTAAAAGTGCTATGGCATCAAGTACCACCGCTATTGTTGTACCAATTGTGGTTATACTATTAGTCCTTGCTGCTGCCACAGGAGTTTGGTTCTTCTTAAGAAAGAAGCCATTGTAAGTTTAAATTAAATAAAAATAAAAGTGCTGAATCTTATAGTTCTTGCTGATTAAGATGGGTGCCAGTTGAAATTTGTTCTCATTTTAATGGAAACCCCAATTTCAAAAATACGATACAAACAACTAAACAAAGTTACTTTCTTCAAGAAAATTACGTCGTACGTTTAATGTCGTGTTTTGGCATTGTGGTTTGAACTATTTAGTGTGTTTTACCACCTTACCAAAACTTTCTATCTTCCTGATTCATTTTATTAATTCTTTTTATAGGGTAAATAGTTGAAGCCTTGAAGTAATTTTCGTTTTCTTTTCCAGTGGTAAAGGAACCGGACTTGGAAGCCTAACAAGCAGCCAAAGTGTATCGTTCAGACAAGGAAGTAACGTGGAATTTGGTAACAATACATTTACAGGAACAGGAACTGGCCCAGGAGGAGTTGAACCGATGGATGTTGCATACAGTTTAGATCCCCTTGGTAACAAGACTAGGGACTTCCACAATCCCATGTACGACGCAGTACAAAATAATCCTGATGCAGTGGGAAACGGGAGTTCAGGTAAATAAATCGAATTTATATCAAAATATTCTCAAAATATTTTGGAGGTAATGCTGTTAACCAAAAAATGCATTTAAATTTTGCCTATTCTTTGTTCTAGTTTTATTTAGGCACATAGATCGGGGGGAGGGGGCATTTTCATAAGACTATTTAATACATAATACTGAAGTTAAACATTTTATCACTATAAAGTCTGCATATATGATTGTGCAATAATTACTTTCAAACATAAATATTTTAATAAATAATAGCTTATTTTATAAGAATTGAAAATGAGAAAACTAACAATTTATTTAAATACAATTTTTTTCTATTAATCGTAAGCCATCAGTTAATATTAATTGTACTTTATGATGCGTACAGCGCTCTACGAGGTTCCAATCGACTTAAATAAATCAAAAAGTGAAACGTTCACGGAGCCTCCGAGTGCAATAATAGCACCATCAAGTGTAACACACAAATCATCGCCCCAGATACAGGTGCGACATCGTGAATTGGACCCTGCGTCTGACACAGGGAAAGATACACAAAAACTAGTAGAAGAAGACTGCTGATATATACAGAATAAACATTCCTTGGTAAGGTTGTACTGGTTAATACTAACGTATGTTAAAAGTTAGTGGTAAAAATAAAAACAAACAGAACGCAATAATTCTGAATAACAAAAACAAATTCAAGAAAAAACGTCTATTATTTATTTTATTTTTAATTACAATTAACAACTCATTACATGAGTAACATGAGTAACAGTTGTGTACTATATAATTCAATTTTTTTTATTATAATTATATCTAAGTCTGTTTTAAAAATATTAAAAAGTATTTTTCGTTTGAAGAAAAAGGTGCTTAAAATGTTCCTCTTTTAAACAGAACTTCCTTTGGCAAGAAATTCACATGATATTGTATTTTTTATTGTTGCATGAAATGTTGACACGTATTTAAATTTTAATCGATCGACTTGCTAGCGAATACATTATTTTTGACTATAGTTTATTATCGGAAATGAGAAAATACTGCAGCTCTAAATAGCGTTAAATTAATAATATTTTTGTACTGTGGTGTAGGAGTAAAAAGCGCATGTGTGGTTTATCATCATAAGAAATGGCCAGCACTTTTCATTACGACCGCTTAAAAACATCTAAAGTGATCCTATTTAACGCAAGTGCCATTCGTTTTTATTGTGAAGCAAGAACTGTTGAAAAGTGCTGGTCGTTTATTGCATGATGACGCATTTGTAAAATTGAGAGGTAGGTACGGCGATCGAACAACATCATTTTAAACTAATTAATTATTGTAAATATAGAAATAAGAACCTGTATTATATTGAGTGATAAGGTATTTAAATTCGGAAAAAAATGAAAGAAATGTTAAGTGATCTTTTACTTCTCGAGTCGTCTTCTTGTTATTATGTATATCGTAATAAAAACATTCCAGTTATTCTGTATGTTGAGCTGTTGCAGAATTTTTATTAATTTGTTGTCATTTTGTTACTGGCTTTCTATATAGAAATAAATAAATAAATAAATATATAAAATATAATTCAGTTTTTAAAAGAAATGTAACAACGGTATTTTGTAAAAATAAAAAACTTGTTAAGCCAATGATGTTATATAATTATACCGTCCCAAGTATAAATTTTTATATACCTATACGTTAGCCTGTAAAAGCCCAATTTTTACATTTTTTGAATCTAAATAAAATCGTATTTTAGGCAGTTTTTGTTATTTTTGTCTCTGCTATGTACTTAATTATATAGCATATTTTTTAGTGTCCTTGTCTGTAGAAATGTCAAGTATTTCTCGCACTGGAAACAATCAATTGTATAATTAAATATCAATATATAATTTGTTTAAAAAATTGTTTTCTTTACTGAAATGTAATGAACAGGTAGGTTCCATGATTTCAAAAAACTTCCGCGGGTTGTCTTTGTTTGTTTTAGGTAGTCCATAGAAGATATCTCAAGTTATCGTGGACGAAACTTCGGCAATTAACAATTTGGTGCAGTCCAAATCCAGAATCTTGATCTTTACCCTCCAAGTGCAAGAATAAGCCTTATAAATAACAGCATACATCTAGATATTCAGCATATTGGGAATTATACGACTCCGTTGTACCATCTATGAGCTATTAGCTGAAGTTTAGGGCATCTATAGCACCGCAGTGAAGAGAAGAAGTTAGATTGCACGTACCGTAACCACCATCAATTCATAGACCAGACCTTATCTATGACAGTATACCATGGCAAGTGTCTATGGACCGTTGTGTATCTATTATCTATGGACATGACGATCATGGCTACCAAATATATTGTTTATGTGAACAATGCTCTGACAATGGCCTGTTATTATCTTGGATTTCGTAAGTAAGAAATTATAAATATTAATTATATAACTAATTAGAATATGCACATTGTTGTTTTTGGAAACTTATTTTTTCGTAGTAATTATTTATAGTATCTTCCCAGCATGTTTGCAAATTTCTAAATAAAATTACATTTAATTAGATTTGGTTTAAATTATCAATGTATGACCTTTTACAATATTATAACGTGGGTTAAGACATTTTCTATTTTTTTTTATTTTCAGAAAATGATGCCTACAGTATATCAGGCAATTATTTTGAGGCCTCTTCCTATCAATGTTTATTATAGGTGTAGGGGTTGGAGTGAACTGTAGAGGTAGAAACGATTGTATAGTCCAAATAGAGCTGTGACCAGCATGGACACAAACAAATTGAATCAAAAGGTAGGATTGTTTGAATTTGATGAATGAATTGTTTTTGCAATCAAATAATTGGACTGATTTTCAGCTGTATATGGCATTTACTTGGTTTTTGTTTATTTACAAGTGTTTTTAATGTCCTTTTCTTAGTATACATTCACATTTTATTTATTGTGTTGAATTGAATATTACTTTTTTATACAAAAAAAAATTATGTAAACCTTACCCAGTGATGGTGTAAATATCTGTAATTATTGGAGAAATACCTGTGAGTTGATAAAGGTCTGTAGTGAATGTTAATAAATCGATTAAAAAGGACATATTACAACCTGTCAACTATTGTATACCCAGAGCCTAACTTAATTATATATTTAAATAGTGTTTTGATTGTTTAACAGGAATATTACACGAACATTGGACATGATATGCAATTGATTTGTGATTGTAGCAGTCCACATTTGATCCCAGTATGGAGCAGTATCCTTTTATTCGCTGGAAGCAGAAACAATAAGGGTAAGTGCCAAACTTTTAATTTAGAAAATAAAATGAAAAGGCTTGGTAAAGTGATAATTATTTTACCTAATGATTGTTTCGAAACACTTTGTTTCATCATTGTAACAGAACTGTTTATTAAAAAAAAAAAAACAATTCCTAATACATATTTTACGTAATTCATTGACACTTTATATTTTACGTGGACATTGGAAAATGGAGATTAAATATTTAATTTTTCAATATACAGACGTTTATTTTAAACAAAAAAGTTAATGGTGGTCAGCTCGTTAAACATGTCAAATTCATTTCTAATGAAAACATTTTAACATTTAAGTATTGTTTAATGTATTAATTGTTCACAGAAACATAATAACTCTGACTACAATGTTCAGTTGGGTGTTGATCCTATAGTCCCCATTTTACTACAGAATGGATCAAGGTCCGCTGGAAGAAACAAAAGCAATAAGGGTAAGTGATAAATTTCTAATTTATTCAATAGAACAAAAAGACATAAAAAGAAGTATCAACTGCTTTAAATTATTTTTGTAAAATTGTAACCTGTCTGTGTGAAATAAGTACTAACTTCATTTCGAAACACTGTCTTTTCTAATTTAAAAGGGCTTTTTATTGACATTTTTATATTCATCATGTACATGTGTATAATGCAAGGAATGGATTAATTAAAACTGAATTTAAAGTACGAGTAGTTAGTTATTGTTTAAATTGTTTATCCCCTTGTTTCTAATAAAAACATTAGGATTCTGTTACCATGTTAGTATAGATCCTAATTATATGTTATTTTTATTTTAATATTGTTTTATATAATAAATAATTAATCAGTAACATTACACATCTAATTAAATTAAAATCTATATAGTTTAATGCAAAGTAGAATAAATACAAAGGCTAAAATCTGCACTCTAAACAAATATCTGAGTACTCTTTCACAAGATTTCATTTTACAGGGTCATTTTGAAAACTTTGGATGCCATGGGTTACAGAGTATTGGTTGTATTAACCGTCCTTTACTCAAGGAAATAGCAGTATCTAAAGTCCTAAAGGGAAGTGCCTTTTTTCCATTGGAAACAGAGGAAACATTAAAAGAAGGATTTATAATAACAAATGGGTAAGTAACTGTATCAATTAAAAATAGTAGATGAGATCCCAGAAACGTCAAGTTCTTAGATATTTATAATTCTCTTTCAATAGTCAAGTTTTAAACATTATTTGAGAATTGTCAAAAAACAGCAGCAGAATTAATACAGAACTTGATTCTTTCTGGCAGTGTGAAAGTTAACATAATAAAAGAGATAGAGCATTTATTTTAAATTTTCTGTACATATTAATTTCAGTAAGAGCATAAGAAGTTAAGGAACAAGGAATATTAAATCTTTCAATTTTGAACATAAGAGATGTTTATTTTGATTAACAACTAATGGTACATTAATAACATGTACATTCATTATTTTTCCTTTCACCTGTCTCTGACTTCACCATTAAAACGCCATTATTTCTTTCCAAATTTGTATTGTTTTTTACATGTGTGAATTTTAGAACATTATAATCTGCAGCTAACCAAGGTGAGAATATATAGTACATAGGTCTATGTAACTTCTTTTTATAATGAAATGTCGAAGTAATACTCACTATTTTGTTAATTTTATTTTGAAAATACTTTTGGCGTTTATAGCGCCACTACCATTACGTTGTCGATTCGGTCAAGAGAATTCATAAAGAACAAAAATTTGAAGAAAACCTCGATTCAAATTTCTGTGGAACTGAAAAAATTCTTATGAATCTTATGCGTTTTGTTCATCTTGCCATTTTGTATTAAAAGCGACGTGTCGTCGCCATTTTTAAAATTTTGCAGTTTTACTTTTCGGTGCGTATTTTCATTATATTTCGTGTTTTAATTATTGTGAAGTGTAGTTTATTCGTTTTTCTTCTCTATTTTTACAGATTGACGATAAATTAAGAGTGGAAGAATGTTCATTTTGATGCAACTGAAAAGCAAATTTTTTCATCTTGGAGGATCTTGTGGTTAATTTAGGCGAGCATACGTAGTAAAGTGTATATTTATTTATTTATTTGCCATTTATGTGATATTAACTTTAGCATTGTATTATGCAAGTTATCCTCTAGAGAGCCTACGTTATATGTGAATACTCTTCAATAAGATTTCATTTTACAGGAACATTCACTCCAGAAGATAGCTGTACCTATGGTCTCAAAGAAAGTATGATAGTGCCTTTGTTTCATTTGGAACGGAGACGGTGTGGAATTGCCAAAGGAAGGATTTATAAGAATGAATTAACTAGTAAGTAACAGTATCAATTAAAAACAGTAAATGAGGTTTGAGAGACCTCAGTTTCTTAGACATTTGTTACTTTCATTAGACAACTTGACAACTTTTCAGAAATGACAAAATCACAAGAACAGAATTAATGTGGAGCTAACGTTTCCATCAGTGTGAATGTTGCAGATTTACTTGCTTTGAAAGTGGTAATTAATTACTTTTTCTTGCCCGTTTCTATAGATTATCCAACAAAAGAGAAGGAATTGCAGTTAATTTTGATGCTTTTGATGTCATCACTTTGCAACATTATGGATTTAATTTTGAACTTTCGAAGACAAGGCAACTGGAAATTAGTTTAGAAAGGACTGAAACAACAGGTTGTCTGCAGTGGTTTTCCTGTTGGATTTGGCTTGCCCATTACACTTGGAGACTTTAAAATACTACTTCCTGCAGTTAAAGGTGAGAATGCATGACGTCATATTAGTTGCTCTTTATGTGTTAATAATAACCAATTATCTTTTGTACAGTGTAAATTGAGGTTAACGTGTATCTACGGTATTTAATTTTTTTAAAAATCTATTGAGATCATCGACGTATACTACTATATTATTATATGTCTATGGTTGAGAGTATAAATTGACGTATTATCGTGCATCTATGACTATCCATATTTATGTCATGATCTATGGTCATGGTGTCAATAACATTTGTCGCCATTTTATTATGATTCAGCAATTTTACTTGCTTTTTGGTGCTTATTTTTGGGTGTGTTTAATTCTTTCCTTACTTAATAGTGTAATTAATATACTTTTTGTCCATCTCTGCAGATTATCGAACAAATGAGTTCAGTTTGGCTGTACTGAAACGGCCAATGTCTACATGGGTGTTTTCTCTTCTGGTCTTGGTTTTGATTTGCTATTTGTATCTTCACCTCGCAACCTATGCAGTTAACTGGAGACTTATTTGAACAGCAGACTTTCTGCCGTGGTATTCTGGATTTGGTTTGCTTTTTACACCTGCAAACATTGAGAGGTAGCAGTCTACAGTTAATTAAGGTGAGAAACTTGATAANTTAGTCTTAAACAACAGTAAAGAATAAAATAGCATAAATACTATAAAAAGAAAGGAAATTGTGTCAATTTTTGAAAATTACCAGAGCCATCATAATCTTACGAGCTGATTAGTCTTAAACAACAGTAAAGAATAAAATAGCATAAATACTATAAAAAGAAAGGAAATTGTGTCAATTTTTGAAAATTACCAGAGCCGTCATATGCTTAGGAGCTGAACAATTTGAAAAAAGCTGAAGTTAATCCCGCGTTTTAATTCTGAACTTGGAAAAAGATCCAATGCAACTTATGCTCTCCTAATACAAACGTTGAAATTTATGAAAAATTTCGGTTTTGAGCCAAATACGAGGGTTAATTAAAAAGTAGTGGAAAAATCAAAAATTGTTTTTTGAAATTTGGTTGTTCCATAACTTTTTGACCAGCCCTCGTATATGACGTAAAACTGAAAATTTTGTTAAATCTGAAAATTTGTATTAGGAGAGCATAAGTCGCAAAAGGTCTTTTTCAAAGTACCAATTTTTAGCGCGGAAAACGAAAAACAAGACTGCTATATTTGATCCCGCGGTAAAAATTGGTANGTTTCTAAATTGAATTTTTGGTATAATTGTTAAATTAAATTAATTCTTTGTTTACGCTTTCAAAATTAATGTTCGTTTTGGGTGGATAGGGTGGCTATAAGGGGAGATGCGGAGGCCACAGAAGGTTAGGGAGGCTTTTTTCTCCCTAATCTTGCATTAAAATAATAATGGTATCACAGTTTATGTATAATAATTGTATTTTCTTTGAAATTTTATTGATCTTGTCTTTTACAGGTATTTTATTTTTAACTTTTATGAGTTGTTAGAATGTATTATATCTTAGATAATTAGTTTATATTGATGTATTGTTGTTATTTGAAATAAATTTGTACTTTATAATAAATGTAAATCATATTTCTAAATAATAAATGTATTTTCATTGTATTGTCATTCTTTAGTATTTAAATAAATAAATAAAATGAAAGTATGTGTTTTTAATTTTGTCCTTAGTCTTAAACAACAGTAAAGAATAAAATAGCATAAATACTATAAAAAGAAAGGAAATTGTGTCAATTTTTGAAAATTACCAGAGCCGTCATATGCTTAGGAGCTGAACAATTTGAAAAAAGCTGAAGTTAATCCCGCGTTTTAATTCTGAACTTGGAAAAAGATCCAATGCAACTTATGCTCTCCTAATACAAACGTTGAAATTTATGAAAAATTTCGGTTTTGAGCCAAATACGAGGGTTAATTAAAAAGTAGTGGAAAAATCAAAAATTGTTTTTTGAAATTTGGTTGTTCCATAACTTTTTGACCAGCCCTCGTATATGACGTAAAACTGAAAATTTTGTTAAATCTGAAAATTTGTATTAGGAGAGCATGTCGCAAAAGGTCTTTTTTAAAGTACCAATTTTTAGCGCGGAAAACGAAAAACAAGACTGCTATATAGTTGATCCCGCACTAAAAATTGGTACTTTGAAAAAGACCTCTTGCGGCTTATGCTCTCCTAATACAAATGTTGAAATTTATGAAAATTTTCGATTTTGACCTAAATACGAGGGTTAGTCAGAAAGTAATGGAAAAATCAAAAATTTGGAAAAAGATCCAATGTAACTTATGCTCTCCTAATATAAATGTTGAAATTTATGAAAAATTTCGGTTTTGAGCCAAATACGAGGGTTAATTAAAAAGTAGTGGCAAAATCAAAAATTGTTTTTTGAAATTTGGTTGTTCCATAACTTTTTGACCAGCCCTCGTATATGACGTAAAACTGAAAATTTTGTTAAATCTGAAAATTTGTATTAGGAGAGCATGTCGCAAAAGGTCTTTTTTAAAGTACCAATTTTTAGCGCGGAAAACGAAAAACAAGACTGCTATATAGTTGATCCCGCACTAAAAATTGGTACTTTGAAAAAGACCTCTTGCGGCTTATGCTCTCCTAATACAAATGTTGAAATTTATGAAAATTTTCGATTTTGACCTAAATACGAGGGTTAGTCAGAAAGTAATGGAAAAATCAAAAATTTGGAAAAAGATCCAATGTAACTTATGCTCTCCTAATATAAATGTTGAAATTTATGAAAAATTTCGGTTTTGAGCCAAATACGAGGGTTAATTAAAAAGTAGTGGCAAAATCAAAAATTGTTTTTTGAAATTTGGTTGTTCCATAACTTTTTGACCAGCCCTCGTATATGACGTAAAACTGAAAATTTTGTTAAATCTGAAAATTTGTATTAGGAGAGCATGTCGCAAAAGGTCTTTTTTAAAGTACCAATTTTTAGCGCGGAAAACGAAAAACAAGACTGCTATATAGTTGATCCCGCACTAAAAATTGGTACTTTGAAAAAGACCTCTTGCGGCTTATGCTCTCCTAATACAAATGTTGAAATTTATGAAAATTTTCGATTTTGACCTAAATACGAGGGTTAGTCAGAAAGTAATGGAAAAATCAAAAATTTGGAAAAAGATCCAATGTAACTTATGCTCTCCTAATATAAATGTTGAAATTTATGAAAAATTTCGGTTTTGAGCCAAATACGAGGGTTAATTA